TGCCCCTCTGACTTTCTCTTTATCAAATTTATTTTCCCTTTCATTAATAGGCCTCTGTACTGCAAGGATAACTCTCATATTCCAAACTATTCTTACATATCGTAATACAATATAGCGAACATTCCCACCCCCAAATCTGGTGTGAACAACACTTAAAATGTTTTATCGCTACGAACATAACTGTTCTTTTAATTTGATAGTCGCGTCAGTTCGTTTTAAAGAGTGGAATGAATGCGACCACTGTGAATTAAATGTAAGGGTATTTTCAGGTTCTTCTAAAGAAAGTGATAAGCTGTAGAAATTTCCCCGTTTTATAAGTGTCTCAGATTGAAGACAGAAGTTAAATCTGATATACACGTATTTATGCATCATAAGCATGGATGCACAACTGAGATTGGTTTCCACAAAAAAAGATTCCGGACACTTCAGCGGGCAGACGTGATTATAATTTTTAAAGAAAGTATATTGTAATTGCATACTGAGTGGTATAATATGTCTGGTGCAGATTTCAATGTCAGTACCCAATATTGTATTTGTCAGAGTTTGAATTACATCTTGTGACTACTAGAAGGTTAACATGTATGCAAAGCAACTGTTTTAAAGAAGAATTCTGAGGGAAGCCGTGTGTTCTGTATTCTGGGAAACTGGAGAAGGGCTCTGGAAGGTATCACATGACGATGCTCGCATCAACCGACGTCTCCAACTAACCATTTCTTGCAACAGCGAAATACTTCTGGGACAAGTCTAGCAAATATAACAATTTTTTAATACGGGGTTCCCACAGCAGTGACTGTGAACAGTACGGTTCTATGGGTTGTAACGTTGTGTTGTTCGGGCAAAGTGAGACTTTTCGGAAGTATGCGGAAAATAAAGTAAGAGTTCTACTTGCTGTTTGGAATGAATGCATAGAATCTATTGATTCAGTAATGATGTCTTTCCTGCCATCTCTTCAGTTTTGTTTTCCCTCAGCAGACTTAAAACATCACGCCTATTGCTATAGCCGTTTTGCTACAATGCTTATTTCATCGTTATTAAAAGTAAAGATAAAGTTTCCTTGTGCGTAACTAATTAATCACTACACCATGAAGACGCATTGGGGAGTGATGGTATAGACGCACGTTTCCTTGGCCTCAGCACTAGTTGAAGGTTAGTTAGCTCAGCTTCACGCCATAGGGAAAGAGCCCCCGGGGCCCACTGGATAGGAGGCTGGGTGGGCTCCAGAGCCGGTCTGGACCGTTTCTTTTTTATTGTTTCTAGAAATTGTAAAAGTCTGTGATGGGCAACAGTCTGTCTCCTACTTCGGTGGTCACGTAATTTTGTACGGGGAAAGTTAAACCGAAGCTTCAGGAGCATCGATTATCTCTTAGTTAAATGCGTTTTTATCGACTTTTATGTTTGTTAAAGGTCAGTGTGGATGGATATTGACGCAAGGTTCTCGGGCACCCAAATGGGCCACCATAGGTCTAATTCTCATTAATCGATTTTCTGTTATGAATGCACCGCTTGGGCACCTGAGCCACCCTGAAATTGAGATCTGCTATACAACTATCAAGTTTCTGACACCTGGTCCTCCGTACACACCCGTCACACATGTTGAATGTTTTATTTATAAATTTCAATTAATAGTGTATTTGTCTTATAAGTTGTACACGCCGAAAGTAAACGGAGGAGTAATAACAGTAGATTTTGCAGCAAGCATTTGCCTGCATTGAAATAATACTACAGTAGCTGTAGTTCGTAAACTTGGCCTCTGGTTTCACATCTTTTTTTCCTTGGCACTACAGCCGCAGTGGGCCTAGGCCTACCTCCATGAACTTCTCCGTTCACTTCGTTTTTTCTAGATCTTACACATTCGGTAGGACTCCTTGGGCAGGTGATCAGCTCGTCGCAAGGCCTCTACCTGTACACAAACACAGAAAAACGCACACACACAAACTCAACATCCATGCCCTGAGTGGGATTCGAACCCACGATCCAGGCTTCCGAGCGAGCGAAGACAGTACATGCCTTAGACCGCTCGGCTACCGTGACCGGCCTGGTTTCACATACCACTTAATTTTTTAAGGTAATGAAACATTGAGCCGGTTTTATATTCCAGTGCGGCAGCAGACAGTAAGTAGTAGTACGTGAGCATTCGTAGGTATCAATTCGTTAGCATTTCTCGTTGAAGGTCTTTAACTTTTGGGGTCGAGAGTCATATGTCTCTTTCTCTCTTTCTCAGGCCCTCCCCACCTCGTTCCGACCTCGACCAGACCACTTCTCTCCCTCCCTCCGCAACGCAATGTCCTCATTCTCCCCCCACCCTAAGACTGTTCTCACTCAACAGCACGAATTTGAAAGCATTCGAAAACGGTTACGTAAACACATAGCGGTTGGAAAATCTTTATCCTTTTTGGAGAAGACATTTCTGTTACGTATTTTTGTTGTAATTTTTTAGAAAAATATACGTGTTCTAAATCTAAGACAAAGCTTCAAACTTACATAACGTGATGATAAATTGTAATATTAAATGGCGGCTGTTCCCTTACTTTATATTAATTATAATGCACCTTTCTGTTTTGTGCGTGACGTGTACTCTGGAAGCTCTGGAACGACTGAAGCCCCAGCAAGTTACGTTGACAGGACAACGCTCACAGCAGACGTGAATGCGGATTAGTATCCTCATGTTTGTGTGTCAGTGTGGAACGTGTGTGTTTGTGTGCTGTCGACGTAATAGGTTTGTTTTTGCACCGTGTCGGGATGACTTAATGTTGTGGCATGTTTTCAAATTGCAATGGCGGTGCGTGTTGCTCGCTTTTTCCACATCCCTTCCCTCCTCTCCCACACGTTCGTTCCTTTGAGCCAAGCGAGTCGACAAACATGGCGGCATGTTGATGTGTTGGAAGGAACTGAATGAAGATGGCTCTGCTCTACTAGGCAGGAAGAAAATGGCGGTGTTATATTGGCGTTGTAAGATATTGCTGCCATTTTCTATATTTACTTTGATACAGAAAATAGGGAAAACATATTTGAACACACTGGTATTCATATTTTTTATTTTCAGTTTTGTATATAATATAGAATGCTCTTGAAACTGAGATAATGATGCTTAAGCATGCTTTGTGGGATAGGTATATGATTCATTATACACATTTGGAGGCCGTCAACGTGCCCTTGATACATGATACACTACAGGATGTAGAAAATAAAGAGATTTATGGGGTAGACTTATACATTACATATTAGTGCTTTATTCGTTGTTCTGATCCAAACAGACGTAGATGTGTTTAGGTAACTCTAATATGACTGAACTACTTGTTGATTGGTCGTAGCTCATTACTCATCAGCTATTACGAATTAGACTATATTACCAACAAAATCAGTGAATAATTCACGGAAGTTCCAAGAATAGCAAGAGTTTGAATAGAAATGGAATTATGAAAAATAGTATAAGATAGCACTTCACGTCGCACATTTGGGCCTATAGGCCTAATTTCAAATCCCCTCATTAATCGCACAGCAAGGACCAACTTCGAATAATAGAAAAGTGATTTAAATATGTACAGTAATTACATTATGAACTTTAGTATTTAAAATATGATTTCATTTTTATAAACCTATCCTATGGTACAATAGTAGAAAAGTTTAGTTCATGATAATGATCCTGTATATAAGTGTAAAAAGATATACTAGTGACACTGTGATGGTGAGCTATATTTGTTTGAAAAAGTATTAGTTTTAATGAAAATAATAATTTATAGATACATCATTAAAAGACGTAATTAATTACATATTTATATGGATAGAATATGGCCTAGTTATGGATTATTTTTATTAAGAATTCGATTGCATCCAAACATGTGAGTTCCAAGAAATCATTGCTTGGGGAGAAGAGGTAAAAATCTAGGTTACGCCACTATTTTATTTCTTGGGAGAATATTGAAACATGGTGCACTGATATTTTTCCAGGGTTCTTTTGAAATTCAACTTTCATTTGGCAGGATGTTTTATACAGAAAAAAAAAGGACAAATTTCTCACATTCAGAGCATATCAATACTCCTGAAATTTTATTCTCTGAATTCTTCCATTGAAATAAATAACTGCATTGTATGGTTGCAAAAAATTATTATAACTTATTATTTTTCAAAATAAATATTCTTGCCTTCTTTGTAAAATATATGAAGAGCATGATGCATTTACCCCATTGAAACACAATGTATCTGTGTTTATTAATGGGATATATTTTGCTTCTTCTTTAGGGAATCAAACTACATTTCATTCTTGGCAGCGAAGAATGCAAATTACAGATTGTGTTTGTTGAAATTGTAATAACTTATTGTTTTATTTATACTGAAGTGGAAAGAATTGCAATGGCAAAGCTCTATTCTGAAACTCTGATTATAAATATGCTGCAAATTTATCGAGGATCAGAATGAAATAAACTGAAAATTCCTCTCAATTTTTAAGTTTTAAGTTAAAATTAATATTTGACTAAAACCTCCACAGATACATAGTCGGGACTGAAAGACCCCTTGACTGAAAAGTCAGGTGATTTCGAAAATCAAAAGTGTTTTGAAAAATATTGTCCCTTGATTTCCGTTTACAGTTCAGACCCAGCGGCCCTCAGTTAAGAAATTAGTCCAGTGATTAAATACCAGAAAGAAAATTGTTGTGAAAACTAATTATTATTTGGAATTCTTTTGGATCTCAGGTCTAAATTTTGTTAGCTGATGTAGTTTCTAATTATGATTTAAAGTACATGTGTTAGAAGTGCAACTGAATATAAAGATGTGAACAAATGCATGTCAGGATTCGAGTCGCAGACTGCTCGTTTGTTTCAGTTTTGAGCACAGAAAATTATATGTATAATGATAAGCACAATTTTAGAGACATTTTCTTGTTCTGGGAAATGAAAATATATTTATATTACATTATTGGGAGCAAATTTTAACTACAAATTTTGTATCGACATTCCATAGGGATTATTCCTTTTTAAAAAATGTAGAGCCACAGCGATACTATGATGAGGTGTGGAAAGACAATTGAATGGAGGGGGGATGATGAGGGTGTAGAAGTGGTGACGTAGCAACGAAATGACAGAAGTTGGGTTGGGCGGGCGTAAAGCTGGATCGATCGAGCGGTGGTCGGACACAGCCGCTGCTCTCCTCTACCCCACCCACATTACCCACGGTATGTCTGCTTGCATGACCCTTTTACACCACTCCTCTTTTTTTTAAAGAAACCCTCTTCTATCCCTATTTATTTATTTTCTTCCCTTTCACTCCGTACCTTTATCCTGTAACGTCACTTGTTTCTGTGTTGGATGCAACTAACGAAACTTCAGAAACATCAGAAATGCAGTCAGCATCCCTGTCAATAGAATCTCTAGCGTTGGCAGTATTATTGTGTATTCAGTGTGCGCGCGTGCGTGCGTACGTGTGTGTTTGTGAAATCAAATGTCACGAAAAGAAGAATATTATAGTAATTCGGTGGCGTAAGCACTGGCAATAATGTGTTTCCTTTAGTGTTGAACTTTGTATACATGACTAATTATTTGTTTGATGTACAATATTTGTTCATCTGTGATAGAGGATGGTGATCTTACTTCGAAAATGTGAGTCTAGTATCATTTTTATTATAATTATTATTACCATTAATATAATAAGGATTTCACGAACTTCTTTCTCATTGTCTTACTCATACTGTATTTTATGTGATAGCAATTTTAAGTTATGTTAATTATAAGTAATGTAATGGAACAGGCTGAACATTAGAAACTGTACCTTTGCAGACATAGTGTTGAACATAGGCCTAAAACATCAATAATTAGAACATCTTTGAACCTCTGTTAATAACATCTAATTAAACACAAAATTTTGAAACTCACAAATGTGAAATACACTAAAAATGTTTTATTTATGTATTCCACATTCTGTATATAATTTGGAATATTAATTAGCTTGTTCTAAGTAGTTTCGGCTTCACAGTTTTAGGTTAACAATATGCTTATGACTATATTTAGTTTATTTTAATCAGTCATTGATTTTATATATACAGATAGGTCTTCTTGAAGGTAACTGAAGCATTAGTCGTATTTGCATTCATATTTTCACTCCTCTCATCATTAGATAGCCAAAATGTACATATGTAACCGTACACTTACGACTCTTTCTCTGTACATGTCCACAGAAACTAATGGTTAGTAAACAGGAGGAGGACAGAAGAATCACTTTGTTATTATTTCTATATTTTTCGGTCATTAAACTACTCATGAACACAGCATGACCCCTTACATAATTTCTAGCTAGTCTAGACATTTAGAGAGTAGTATAAAATGGCACCAGACTTGTTTTCCTTTTTAATTCCAAACTGACCTTGACTGTTTCCTCACTACTGAGTGGTCTAGTTCTCATTATGTAATACTCTCTTTCGTTCAGCTGTATCTCTGTTCCACGTTTTGTCTGTCTCTCTCTTTTCATTTCGATGGCAGTTTTGGACATGACGGTTGATGTGTGTCTGCTTTGGCCAGCATCCATCCTCCAGTACTCCATGTCGTCACTTTCGATGCAAAGAGAAGGGAGGAAAGATATCCAAAATGGCGGTGAAATGCATCCATATTAGCTGAATTTTCGAATTGGTTTCAGTTTTATCTTTCGAAATCTAATCTGAAGCTTTAAAAATTCATACAACATACGGTTTATGCAAACACTGTAATAATTACGGCACAGTTTGCCTTTATAATTCATTGAATATGTAACTCGCTAGCATTTTCTTCCTTACGAAATGCTAATAAAAATCGATAGTGTTTGTTTTGTCATAAAGCAAACCCAGAACCATCTGTTTTCATTATCACTACATGCAACCTTATACTCAGTAGCGTTCAATATTTTTAGATATGCACCGATATAATTATAAAAGCAATATTATTCGGATGATGGCGTGTGATGACATGCCTGTATCAAATTGGAAACAGAGCTCCTTTTATGCATTAAAGTTTACGTGTGAAGGTTTCGATTTCAGTGACGTTCGTCTTTCAAATGGAGATGGAAATTTTTGATCATATAGTAACAAGACATGAGTTAGTGATCACAATTACACATCTATGGCTCAACAGCCCCTGTGAACCTTGGCCTCTATTACAGGTTCTTAATCAATGCACGGACGGTAAGACTCCTTGGACGTGTGATCAGCCTGTCCGAAGGCCGTTACCTACACTCAGGACAATACAAACACTGAATAAACGCACACAGATATCCATGTCTCTAGTGGGTTTCGAACCCACGATCCCAGTGTTTGAGCGGGCCGGGACGGTTAGTGCCTTAGACCTCACGGTCACTGTGATCGGCCCGAGATCACAATTAACAGCAGTGTAACTTTCATGATTCTAGTAATATGTATAAGGTTACAGCCGTATCTATCTTGTGCATTGTGTATGTATATGCATGAGTTATTCTTCTACGTCCTCAGAACTAAACCACATTCACATTTCTAAGCTTTCCGCTGTCACTTTCCCATAACTTAGGCATACCGAGATTAAATGTAAAAAAAGAAAACCTATATAAAGTGACTGAAAATTTTCTCTTGCCACAGGTTCTAACTTTTCACTGTTAGGAACATACCGGTCCTGTTCTGGAATAGAGATATCCAACTAGTGGCACGTGGGTCGCATCCGACCTGCCAGTTGCTTTTATTCAGTTCGCGAATGGCGAGTGTGCCCACATTCATCAAAACACGCCTCAAAACGGAATCGTGAGGAAGAACGGTTATGGAATATTATTATAAATGGACTATGTAAAGGGAGTTCGAAGCAGGTTGTCGGGCGTTCGATTTCCGACAGAGGCAATAGAATTTTCTCAATTCTACAGCGTCCAGATCGGCTCTGGGGCCCACCCAAACTCCTGTCTAATTAATACTGAGGATAAAGCGGTCAGGGCTTGAATGCGACCACTCACCTCTTCTCGTGCCGATATCAAGAATTACGCTGCAATATTGCCACTCTCCCTATGCATCTTCATGGCACGGTGCTTAATTAATTAAACATAGGGACTATGAGCTACATGACTTGCATTTAAAGCCAAATATTATTAAGATGCTGAAATCAAGGAAAATTGAGTAGGTATAACATGTAGTAAGCATGTGATAGAAGAAAAATGTTTACAAATGCAGAGTCTTGTAAGAGGAATACCACAAGAATATTTGGAAGACCTGAGCACGGACGGGTAATAATACTAATAATAAATATGTTTTCGGGAGACAGGGTATGCATTTTTGAATGAATTTATATTGGTCTTGGTACAGATCAATGGTGGGGTTTTCTGAATTCGGTAAATGTTCCTTTGGTTCCCACGAAATTTTGGGAGTTTGTTGAGTAACTGAGAAACTAGTAGCTTCTCAAGAAGGAGTCTACTTTATTTATTTAGGTAGGTAAGTAGTTCTAATAATTGCATGCCATAAGGACAGCAAGCTGTGTGTAGTTCATATTCCTGATCGGAACAATTGTAAAACCATAAATTACTTAGACTGGGATATATTGTGCAATGACGCCTGAAAGCCCCGTCTTCTGGGAGGGGTTTCACTGAGCACGTACCCGTGGCAATAGGGAAGACGCCGCTGCTGGTCGGCGAATTGTTGGAAGATGTTTTCACGACCGAAGAAGCAATGCATTACATAAAGACTCACGTAGATTCCTAGGCAATATTTCTGTTCACACGGCAACGAACCACCAAAGCACCATAACGGCGAAGAACGCTATAACTCCACTCTTGAAGGAGGTGATCTCCATAACAGTTCGACAAATCCTACCTCACGGAGAGAACTGACCAACAGAAGCAGAGTACGCAAGAAAACAGGAGACAAACAGAAGTCATAAGAAGTCAGGAGTGAAGTTTTTATTTTACGTGGCGTCATCATTGTTCGTAGTTACGAAGTGTTACAGTAAGTTTGAAAGTGTTATAATTAATTGTAGTTCCGCCTGATGAATATCCAATACATCGCTTCATCTAATCCGGAACCCATTAATTACTTGTCTCGTTACCAGGATACGTGACAATATGTTATAAACCTTTGCAGATTTGTTACAAAATACAATTAAATTATTTAATCCTTTCTTGCAAATGTCAAGACAAATATTTAGTATTTTCCTTCATGAATATCTCTAGAAAGAGAAAGGATTTCACTAGCTGCTTTCGCTTTTTCTCTTCAGTTATTGCGAATTTGCTGGAGCATATAAAGTCCATGTCTCCAAGGGATTTAATTTTGCTTAGAAATATTGAATTTGTGAAAGTGTGTATGAAATAATGAATGAACGATCATGAGGTTGTTAAATAAATAGGTCTATGCACAAATATATGCCCTCATCACTGCACTGATATTTCAATGGTTGCATGTTTATTGCTTTTGTGTCCAGGAACAGATCAATGTTGCGGAAATGAACAATTCAAGTAACAAAAAAAACCCGCGATCAGCGAAAATAGAAAGAAATGTATCCACGAGGTATACAATAAAGGTCTGTTTTGCAGCTGAGCAAATAACAGTTTGTTACAAATCATTCCAAAGCCTACTGCGATTTTAGCTGCATTTAGACCAAGGAAAGGATTTATTTTTCAATGAAGATGATCTGTTAGTCTACATAACTGCTAACAGTGTCCATTTATTTAGGTTACTTAAAATACGTCTTCATAATAATGAAAACTGGGCAATAACAATAACTTAAATAAGTAGGAATATTTCATTACTATTTCTAGGGTGCACTAAGCCTCCTAATCCTTGCAGCCGCACTATGGCCCTGGTGTCGACTCAGCCTCTAACAAAAATGAGTACCAGGAATCTTCCTGAAAGTTAAAGGGCGGCCGTTTCTTTAGGCTGACAGACTTACCACCATCTGTGAGCCGATTTTCTACATAATGTGGGACCCTCAACGTCTTACAACCCTGTGGGCTTTCACGGCCTGCTACAGGGATAGTTTTACCTTTTACCTTACCTATAAATATATTGCAATATCCGACGCTCTAATTGAACATGTTTGTGAGATTTATATACATGAAAAAAAAAGATATCCGCTCTTGAACTTGGTGGCTTCTTTAGAGGTTTACGAAGTAGGATAATACAAAGCGCAATCTAAAATAAGATGGGGATAGCAACTACAGTAACACTGCTCCTTCGTCATTGACGCATGTGCATAGGCTAGCCAATGACGAGCTACATTCCCATATTGACGCATGGGCACATGAGATCTGAATTTCTTTTGTGTTTAAAAATTCTTGATTATTCAAATTTTCAGTAGGAGCAAATCTATGGATTCCTATAGCGAATCTTATAGTCATACTTTATACTTTCCGTGCGGAAGCAATTCTCTAACCCGAACATCCTTATTGTGTGGGTGCGTGTAAAATAATAATGGAGTATTAGGTTTGGTGTCTTATCAGAGACCGCAGGTCGCGAGCTCAGTTTGGGGGACAACTCGCACGTACGTTGTGTAGTGACACTGCTACTCTCCATAGATTGACAACAGCAAAGCGAAGAGTACAGTCCTGTGGGTTCTAAAATAAACTCCACGGCTTTCTGATTTCTAACGTCTTGAATTTCGGAGAGAGCCCGAAGTTTCGGGAAAACATT